TCTCATTCCACTAGACTAACTGATTGTTGGTTCAATCTTTTATCCTTTAATTTTGTATTTTAACTTATAACTATTTTTACTTTGTATTTTCATCAAATTCTTATTCAGTTTGATTATATAGAGAACACATTATAATGAATACCTTAACCTATCAAATATGTTTCATTTAACTTTATTACAAATATTATGTATATGCGCTGTTTTTTTTTATAATTTTATTATTCCTCACAACTAAACTCAAAGCCATTGTCTCTCTATTTAACTTTCAACATTATAAAACTAAAATAATATTTTCAAGAGATGTTGTGCGTAATAAAAACACTAAGCACTAGATTTTTACTTTTTAATAAAAACAAATACACTCATCGGGAAATCAAAAATGATATTTTCAAGAGATGTTGTGCGTAATTGATTTATTATTATATTTATGAAAAAATAAATTTATTAAAAAAGATAATTAGTAGTATAAACTTCGAAAATGAATTTGAAAAGCATGAAAAATCAAGTAATCCAACTACAGTTGTCATATTTGTATATAATTTCCGATTAAATTTAAAAAGTTCCCTTCAAAACGTTAAACAAACATAATAAAATATAATAAATTTGACTCAGTTCGGTTATAATAAATTGGATTTTTTAAACGATAATAGTTCCTATAAAGTTATCCCTCGAGCTCGAGATGAACCGTACCTACCGCACCACGAGTCGGCTAATCAGTGGTTCGGCCGAGTTAAAACAGTGGGTCGCAGATTGAGGCATAGGAAGTAGAACCGCAGCATTTAGGTGAGCATTGCTATTAGGCAATAAATTGATAGAAATATGTACTAAAAATAAAAGGTTAAACTATGCAATTTAGTTATTAAACTTGTACTTATTTCTATTTTGATCGTATAATTTTTAAAATTTCCTATTTAATCACTCAACTATCTGTATTCATTTTTCATCATCTCCCTTTAGTTTTCATCATCTTCCTTTAGTTGCTTGATGACAATATCAAAATATTACTATTTGGGCATGATTATTTATAAAATTATCTTGAATTTTACTTTATTTTCTTTCTTATGGTTGACTTTTTTTATCATTGCTCGACTCATTGACCATCGTTTGAGACTTAATTAGTATCAAAATATTTTCTTTTCTCTCATTTTTCTTATTACCAATTTAGTTTTTCTCAAAATTAATAGATCTTAAATAAAATCTTTGACATTGTCTTGATTTAATATGCAACATCTAATGTTTGATCAATGTGAAATCATGATACATTATTTTTCTCCATTTTGATCTCCATTGTTTGAATTTGGAAGAAAATATGTTTGATAACGCTAAATCAAATAGAGTTCGACAATTTGGATTGGAGAGAAACGTTATATTACTTTTTTTACACATTTACTTAAAAAATTTAAACAACATAAAAAACTTAACGATAAAATGACGATAAATGAATTTTGAAAGTTAGATGATAAAATTAAAAGTTTTAAGAGTTAACTGACCAAAATAGAATTAAAATAAAAGTTGATTGACTAAATATGTAATTGATCTAAAATAAATTGATAAAATTGTATATGCTTATTGTAAGATTATTTATTTAATATAATGTTATTAAAATTATATAACTTCATCACTTTTAAAATATCATTATGCGTTATTAATTAGTTATATTAATGTCTATTAAAGATATATGATAATATATTAAAGCTGTACGAAAAGAATTTTGAATTCATGGTTCTAATGATGTAAATGTTGTTTTTCTTACTGGTTTTAAATTTGAGTAGTTGTATTTAGAGATGGTATGGATTGAGTTGAGTTGAATTTTTAGCCAATTTAATTTAACCCATACCTAACAACGGATACAAAAATAATTTTGAGAATGAGCACAAATATATTAATAATAGAAAATTTTATTATGGGAAGACACAAATAAAATTTTAGGGTAGACACCAATAATAAAATAAATAAATACTATAAATAAATTTGAATTTCAGTGAGGACAAATACCCATCCTAAACAGGCATTGCATCCGCCATTTATCTGACTGAAGACCTAACCCATATTTTAAGATAAAATTTGAACTCAAGCCAACCAAAATTAACCGAACCTGACATAAATATTTTTCATATTTTTTTAATTTTATTCGATAAAATAAGAATCTAATTGAAAAATAATATACAAAGAGTTATTATTACAATTATTCTTAAATATATAAAGTATAGTTAAATTATTTTTTAGGTTAGATAATGTCGAGTATTTCTCATCTTAAATTCGAATATGACTTGATCCAAACTTATTATCTAAAAAACTTGACTCAAATTTATTCTCTAGAAAACTTGATCCAAACTTATTCTTTAAAAAATTTGACCCGACCTAAATCAATTTTTTTAAAAGCGGTCGAATAGCATCAAGTTGAGTCAGAACTCACTAGGTGGAAACTCGTTCGATTTGAATATCGTGTCCATACCTAATTGTGTTTATAAAGTGTGTGCATAGTAAATTACTAAGAAAGATTATAGATAAATACTACCTAATACTCGTATTATATTATTATAAATAATTATATATTTATATTATGTATATTAAATTAATAAATAATATTTGTATGGAATAAATTAAAATTTTAAACGCTCGTGAATGGGTAAATTACGGTTATGGAACCATTTCCTCAAAATATGAAGAAGAAAAAAACTCTACTGTTATGGAAGTCTGAACCTTATTATGTCATCATTCATGTGCGCCACCCTCTCTGACCACACCATTTGATCATCATGCTCTACAGGGTGCAGAAAGCCTTAGCCTATTCGCCCGAGTTTCATTATTTTAACTTGGTCTAAATCTTACTTTAGTCCCCTTTATTATACTAAATTATGAAGTTTAATATCATATTTTAATATCATATTATTTAATTTTATTAATAGATTCAAATTGACAAATCATTAATTTTGTTCATTAAAATGATGATTATATTACCCTTTAGTTAAGTAGTTAAGATTAATTTAAAACTCAATTAACTATAAAAAAGTTTAATGTTAGTAAAAAAAAATGTTACCACTTCAACTACAGCTACAAAAGTTGTTATTAATTTAAAAAAAGTAATAACATTAAAAAATAGATGATCCAAGTTCAAATTAGAAAAAGATTAAATCTAAAATGTTTGTATAGTGGTGGGACTAAAACCAATATTAGACCTATAGATTTAATCCTCCATCAAGTGCATGAAGAATCTTGAAAGTGGTCCCAGGGTTCCGGAGATAAAGCTTAAAAAATATCATGAGACGTGCCTTCATTTTTTAAATATATTTTTTCGAGTATCAATGGCGCTGATCGTGTCTGGACCACCCTATCTAATTTGCTCTTGCCTTCAAGGATGTTTCTCGGTTTTACTTTAATTTTTATTTATTTATAGTGAAAATTAAGCAGTCCACACCATGTTTTAAAATAGCGGACGAAAACGTAACAGTGTCTGTTATTTCATGGTAGTATTACCGTTCAAAATTGAAATCTGAAAAAATAACAGTGTACAGTGGATTCATTCTAAAATCGATCGATTGCATTCGTAATCTATTGAGTAACGGTGAATAACACTGATAATGAGATGCTATTACCGTTATCTACTGTTAATGTGAAAAAAAAAGATGAATCAAAAGTTTTTTTTTAAAAAAAAAGAGGAAAGGTTGGAAGGAGGGGGAGTTGAGAGATTAGAGAGAGCTTTGAAGAGAGCTTTATTGGGAAACTGGAGAGAGTTTTGCTGTGGGAGGGGGAGTTAAGAGACCGAAGAGAGTTTGCCGTGGGAGGGGGTAGGGATATTAATCTGCGTGGGAGTGAGTTTGGGTGAGGGAAGGGGAGTTGAGAGTCGGAGAGGGGAGAGATGAGTTTTTTTTTAAAGAATTTTTAAAATTATTTGAAGAGATGATTTTTTTTAATATTTTTTAAAATATAATTTTAAAGGATATATTAATTTGACACCCCTTTCACTTTATAGAATTTATAATTTAATCCTTAGTTTAAAATGTAAATTTTATTTTTTATTTAATTTAGTCATAATTTCAGTAATATAAAATTTTGACATTTAAATTTTACATTTTTATTTTAATTATATTTAATTTAATTATTTTGTGTTCTTTAAATTTATTCAAATTTCATTCGATATGGTAAAAAATTTCTTATCTCATAGTATAACAAAATTTATTTTTATACATTTTAATTTTTTAGACTTTTTCGTATGTTGATAGTACTATTTCTTTTAAATAACAATGTATTCAAAATCTCATCGTTAATTAATTATCTTATCCTATCATCATATTTTTAAAGTATTCTATTTGGTTAAACTATATTATACATATGTCATTTTCGCTTAAAAAATATTATAAAAATCATTAAAAATGATTCATTATAATTATTTTTATAATGTTTTAAGATATGTTGTGCAAAATTTTAAAAAATTCACGATCGCATCACTCGCAGTGACCGCAATGGCATCCTTATGTCCGCAATTACGATAAACGCGACGCGACCGAAAACGTGACCGCAAACGCTATTTAAGTCCTTGATCCACACCATAGAATCAGATTCCAATATATATATTTTTTAAAATATTAAAATATTAGTAATTTTATTAATTTTTTAATAGTAATTGATTAAAATAAAATTAAAACATAAAAATAGTAATAATTTTGAAAAAAAAAATTAGCTGATCTAAACAAAATTTAAATGATATTTGAATGACTAAATATATAGTTTATCTATATAGATAAATAATTGAAAAGAAATAATTAAAATGTCAGAATAGGAACCGAAGCACACGCAAAACTGGAAAAAGTTGTGTCCCACAGTTATATTTGCCCTATTGAGACCGCCACGTCACCATTTCAACTCCTCACCAGCCAGCCTGGCAGAAACCCTCTTTACATTTCAAATCCAAACATTGCTCGCCACGTTTCATCTGTCTGACGTCGACACGTCTTCTTCTTCCCCAAAATCTCCATATAATGCAACTCCCTCTCGTTTTCTTTAACTCTCAAAGTCGATATCTTTCTCAAGATTTTCCCACATCTAAAACTAATGGCAGCTTCTGTTTACAAACTTGCCACTCTTTTCCTATTCTGTATCATCCCTTCTTCCGTCTGCGAGCTGGTTCAAGAGCAGCCTCTGGTGTTGAAGTACCACAATGGCCCACTTTTAAAGGGCAAAATCGCCGTCAATCTCATCTGGTACGGCAAGTTTACCCCTTCCCAACGCTCCATAATCGTCGATTTCATCATCTCGTTGAGTTCCGCCAACCTCAAGCTTCCTTCGGCATCTTCATGGTGGAAAACGACTGAGAAATACAAGAGCGGTTCATCAACCTTAGTTGTGGGCAAGCAAGTCCTCCTCGAAAACTACCCACTCGGAAAAATCCTTAAAAACCCACACTTGCCGGCCTTGGCCGGAAAATTTATCGGCGTCAATACTATCAGCATCATCCTCACGGCCAAAGATGTAGCCGTCGAAGGCTTTTGCATGAGGTGCGGGACTCACGGGTCTACCCGTGGTCTGGTTCGTAGTGCCTTTATCTGGGTCGGAAACTCTGAGACTCAGTGTCCCGGTCAATGCGCCTGGCCGTTTCACCAGCCTATTTATGGTCCCCAAACGCCGCCTTTGGTTGCTCCCAACGGAGACGTTGGGGTTGATGGAATGATCATTAACTTGGCCACCCTTTTGGCTAACACTGTTACCAATCCGTTTAATAACGGGTACTTTCAGGGGCCGGCCAACGCGCCATTGGAGGCGGTTTCGGCTTGCACCGGGATGTTCGGGTCGGGTTCGTACCCGGGATATCCGGGTAATCTTTTGGTGGAGAAGACTACCGGGGCGAGCTATAATTCAAACGGCGTTAATGGCCGGAAATACTTGTTGCCAGCGATGTGGGATCCTCAGACATCAACGTGTAAGGCGCTGGTTTGATGGGACACGTGGCGGGAATTAGTGGTGAAGGGGAAACATATGTAGATATTTGTAAGTATGGGTTTGTTGTAAGTATGGGTTTGTTGTAGTGGGTTCACGGGATGGGTGAATTGTAGTTTGGTATGGCCCAAGAAAAAGAATTTTGATTTGGTGTGAAAAAGGAAAACAAAATATGTGGATGTGAGATATAAATAATATATAAAAAATATTCAATAAATTAAACGGTGCTCTAGTTTCTGCGTTTTCTCTGGGTTTTTAATGTTTGTCACAATTATTAATGTAATTAAAATTTTGATTTTATAATAATCAGACATAAGTTAATAATGTCCTTTTCCTAAAACTAAAAAGCTATGAATAAAAAGTTTTAAACTATAAAAAATAATAAAAATATTTAATTTTAATTGAATTCTGTGAAATATTTATTTTAGAAGAAGAAAATGTATTTTTTTTAACATTTTATGAGATAACTTCTTCCGTAACTTTAATTTGTGATTTTCGATAATTTTTAAATATCTTAATTTCTTTGAAATATAAATAGATTTGTTTCTATTTATTTTTCATTCAAATATTTTAATTAGAATTTTAACTTTTTTTATATAATTAAGATATGATCTAAAATGATTAATATTTTGTCTCTATATCATAACAAATGTTTAAGTTATGTATTTAATTTATGATAATTGTAAAATTTTATTATAATTTTAAGTATTTTCACTTTTAATAAAAGTAGCGATTTCTATTAAAAAAATTAAATTCCAAAATATTAAAACAAAATCTACCAAAACCCGAAACCATACCAAAATAAATTAGACAAGCTTGGAGTAAATTTTGTGCATCAAATAATTATGAAAAGCATTAGTCTAAAATGCTGATAATTAAAATCCATGGAGAAACAAAGTACCAACACCAATACTAGGGATGGCAAACGGGTACAGTTTCGTAGATTCCGCACCGCATCCGCTCCAATTGGAGCGGGGATGAGTATAATTTTAGCGGGTAGTGGGCGGGTGTGGATTTATAAAGTGGTACCCGTCGTGGGTGGTGGGCGGGTAATGGGTTTGAGACATTACCCACCCCGCATCCGCCCGCCCCGCATCCGCCCGCCCTACATCCGCCCGCCCAGCTAAATATCTATTAAATTTTGGACCATTATGAATTTAGGTGTAATTTTAAAGACTAATTTATAAATTTGAATATTATATAATATATAACATATAATTTAACTAAATATTAAGGATATTTAGTCTTTAATCTGGTATTTAATTAGGGAAATATTCAGCTCTTTGATTAAACCCATAATCCCACTAACCACGTCACTTTCCATGTTCTTTAGCCCATGCTGCCCATCCAAACACAAATTAGCCGTACTATAAGCATTAACATCAAAAGCAGCAGTTTCCATGTTCTTTAGCCCCTCAAAACTCATATTAGGCGCACTATGAGCATTAACATCGAAAGCAACACAACAATCCAGCTCTGCGACTACATGCTCCCTACAATATGTCTCCATAACATTCGTAGAGCCACTCATCTGACAAATTGAAGCATGCGCTGCTACCCCATCACGAACTGTCTGCGAACCAACTCCAACATCTCATTAGTTTGTTGTCAGGCGGGTCTAGATGGGTATGTCGCTAGTGGGTAGTAGGTGTGGGGATGGATTTGAAAATGTACCCGCGTGGGCGGGTGTGGATTTGAAAATTTGTACCCATCATGGGTGGTGGGCGGGTGGTGGATTGAAAAATAGTAGGTGGGTATGGGAATGGGAGAAGGGGTATCCGCACCCGACCCGCCCGTTTGCCATCCCTAACCAATACTCTGGAGAAATAAGCACAAGGCCAAACGAATTCAGCCAAATATTGAAAAAGGGCCGCTCAACATTAGGAGAATAAAAAATAAACATGGCAGAGACATAATTTGTGACCAGTTCAACATCATAGAAGTAGACCAGAATTTGTAGTTTGGCAAATCGACTCAATTTGATGAAACAAAACCACTCAAACTTCCCAAACACTCGGAACAACTAGTATTGTCCAAGTACCAAATAGTAGGGGCTGTGACGCGTTGCCATTCTCAACCTCGGAACCTTCCTGCAGCATATAGGATGAAGTTTAACATGCTTTATTGAGGTTGCAAAACTAAACACAAAAGTACAATGATTTATTGAGATATGAGAAGCTGATCAGAAATTTAAGATGAGAAAACCACATCTGCAAGACATACCCATTTTCATAAGGAGCAAAGAAATACGGAGCCATGAATGGATCCCTAGGTCGCGTAAAAGGGTTGGACCGACGTGGACGATATTGTTTCATCCCAGGTACATTGGTCCGTTTTGCAGTCACCTACAAAGATAGCACTGTGTTTTTAAACAATTTATAATTGAAAGTTTTAAAGCAAATACCCCAAGTCCAATGGTGTTTTACAATTTTTCATAGTACAGCCACTGTTTTCTTAATCTTGAAAGGAAAACGGAGCAAGAGAATGGAAAAGGACAATTAGGCTTTACCTTCAACTGCCTGCCATGAAGTTCAGATTCATTCAAAGAAAGAGCCTCCTGAACAGCCTCGGCTTCAACAAACTCTACATAAGCATAACCCTTTGGCTGGCCGAACTTGTCTGTACGAATAGTAACCCTATTTACAGTCCCACAAGACTGGAAATATTGTTGAACTTATTCAGGACTGCATGAATAATCGACCTGCATTCTCAGAATGTTTTAAATGTAGCCAGTGAAATGTGCACAACGGAATACTAGAAATTAATAATTACAGCAACAAGAAACAAGTTGATAAACATTGTTCAAAATAGAGACAAAGTAGCCAACAAGGTCACCTGTGCAGCAAGTATCTACTTACTAATCACCTTTGCAAGAGAGGTAACACCAGCCTCGACAAAGACCAGTTACTAGCGTACATATTTAACTGATCAGTGTGCTCTGATGTTTCTAATTAGGGAGCCAAACTAAAGAAAGCCAATGGTTAAAATTTCTTGAGCAATTAATACTCACACAAGTAAGAAACTGGTAATAGATGAGGTCAACACATTGATCAATGATATAAGCAACAACAGCCTAAGAAAATATGATAATATTGATAAAGTTGCAGAATAAATAATTAGATGCCAGAAGCCTCCCTTGAAAAACTAACATTTAAGAGTGAAGGAAGGAGAAAAAACAAAACCTTCGTTCATTTTTTGTTTCCATTTTTAGGGTTAAGGGTGTGTTAAGACAAAAGAAAAATGGTTACGAAAAAAAAAGTCATCCCTACTTGTCCCAAGTGATGAAATAAAAAGTGATCAGAGACCCCTCACCATAAGAAGAGCATAGAGCACCAGCAAAAGCACCACTCTGGTTTGCAAATAAAACTGCAAATATCCACCGCTAGTCTTTACTCAGCAAAGGGCATCCTTTCAACTGATTTGAGACCGATTTTCAGGAATCTTGAATCAAAATTCGTTTCTCCATTCATCCCAGGCCAAGTGCTCAAGTTAAAGCAAGACAAGAATTTTACAATGGTAGTACCTTTTTCCCTCCCACTTTTTCCAGCTATCTAAAGTAGTCAATTCAAAGACTTTATCAAAATCCTTTCTTTTACAGGCTTTATGTAAAACCTTTTTGTTTTTTTCTTTTCAAAATTTGACTCAAAACTTTTAACACACTTGCTCTTATCCTCTCTTAACCACATAAATATAGTATGACCTGTATGTTTTCCTAGCTCAAGAACGTTTCTATTGGCTATTTTCACCCGACCACAGATACTAAATCAGAAAAACTTGAATGAAGCTTCACCTGCGATTGTAGTAAAAGATAAAGTCAACAAAGGATTCTAAACTGAGAATCCTTCAGCATGTTAAATGCTCGAACTTTATATTTGATACATAAAGGAAATGATCACTTGTAGTAATAAGATAGGAAGTTGCAGCGTTTCTACACGAGAGTGGTGTGAAGAGAAAAAAGGTACATTAAGCTTAAATAAATTCGCACATCTATCAAATTAAACCTGTTGGGTTGTCCATCATAGTTAAATATGCCATGAAGAGAATGTAGTCAAGTTACCATATTCTAACCCTCCTAACTAGCAGCATTGTTATCGGATCCTAGAATTTCAGATTTCAAAGACACTGCTCACTCTTATAATAATTAATAGACCTCAAAGTGTATTAACTTGGTAAAGGTAAGGACTAAGGAGAGGACAGAACATTTTAGGATGATGCGACGGACGAGATCAAAGAAGCTCCAAAACGCGAGGAGGAGAAACCAGAGTGAAGTTGCCGTTATCGATGGCAGTATTTTACTTCTCTGGTTATTTTTGTTCCACCATCCCTTCGGTTTCTTGTTCTGATGCCTCGGTTTCTGACCCATTGAAGTATTGCTAAAGGTGTGTTCTAGTAGTTCACTGGTTATATTCATTTTACAGTTGAAGGTTTCTAATTGCAATGAGGCAGCCTATGTGCACTATTTCCTAGTTTTTTTAATAGAAGTCATTAGTTTTATTAAAAGAAAATTATCCAGAATTACAATGAATGTTTAAAATCATAATCGTAAACTAAACATATAATTAGAATATATTTTTTATAATAATTGATACAAAAAACTAACCGCTCGAGATTATACAATGATCATATAAAGAAAAAGTTAAAATCCCAACCAAAATTTTCGAACAAAAATAAATACATATAAATTTAATTGTATCGATAAATGAACCACAAAAGATAAACAAAACTATTGTGATATTTTCTAGTCTTAATGTTTGGAAGATGTTTTCTTGGAATTATCATATTATCATATTTCTTTACTTAATTTTGTTGTCATATTGCATTGTGCATTGTATTATATGCTTGTATCTATATTATTATCCCCCTTTCTTGCCTTATGAAGCTAAGAGGATCATCTCAAGAAATTGGTCGGGGATGGAATTTAGATTAAAATTAACTAAAAAAATCTCCAATCAGGTGGTGGCACATGTCTCTAGTGAAATGTATCACAATAATCTGTTGACAAATGTACCTCCTGTTTGAAGGGTTATTTTTTTTGAATTAAATTAAAATTAGGACTAAATTAAGAGAGTATGTAAATATTAAGAACTAAATGTATAATTATATCAATTTTATTAATTGTCACATTACCATCTCCGTTACATGTTAACGATTATTGGTTTGATTAAGTAATCTGATTGATGAAATCGAAATATTGATTGTGAAAATAAAAGAGAGCAATAGTGAAATGATCACCCGTATAGTATATGTATTAGATTTTATCCAAAGATATTGGCAAACAAAAATACTATATGTAAAAATATATATTTGTAAAACATATTCCAATAATTAATAGTAAATATTGTAATAAGGCATTACATATGAAGTTATTAGTTTTGGATTTGATTCTCAAGTAAAAATTTATAAAAGTCTGAAACGATTACACAAACTTTAGGGGATTTATATATAGTATAGAATAAGAGAAATTGTAAAAAAATGGGGAACATGCATTATACATTATAAAGAAATGTTTTAAAATATTGTGGGGGCACACAATAATTTTTCCAAATCCTTCATGGCACCAAAGGATTGAACGGTTTCTCTGCACGTAGATTTTCATTCTCAAACCATAAAAACTTTTGATTAAACTTGTCCTTGTATGTTGGAAGCGTAGGTGAGCACTCAATAATTTTACAACTATAACTATTATTGATACGAAGCAAAATACGTTATAACGATGTTACCTCAATATTATAATATTAGCTGCGACTAGTTTACAAACACAACCTCGCTATTTTAAACTTTGCTAAGCTTTACCCTCTCTCTCATAGCATTGCTAAGCTATTTATCGTCCTTGCTTTTCTAAGCTTTTTACTCATTCATTTTATCTCACTTGTATTTTATATCTTTCGTACATCTCATATTTATAGGAAACTAAATCGCCTTGAACTGCTGCTAGACAATTCCTTGTCGTGCTATAATTCCATGCAATTTTGATTTTTCAAAGTCCATCCATTCTATTTTCCACATGTTGAATAATTGTAATACCTCAAATTTTGTCTGGTGACTAAAAGGTAAGTTTTGAAAGTTTAGTGGCTAAAGTATAAATTTTGAAAAATATAGGGACTGATACTGTAATTTTTAAAAGTTATATATATTAGCCTGTAAATGAACCATTTTGATTAAAACAGAGATTTTAGTGGGAATCATATTTTTGGTATGAGAATTTTGGTAAAAGCTATAAAGCAGTAAAGTTCGGTATTGAAATCGAATATTAATATTGAATTGGAATTTTATGAAAATTTGAAGGATGCTATAAAATGGTTGGAAATATTATTTGTATATCATAGAAAAGTAAAATTTAACATGAATCAATGGAATTAAGGTCGCTTTTTTATGTTAAGTCAAAATTTTGGAATTAGGTGACTAAATTACAATTTTCAAATATTGCAAGGATAAACATGAAAAATCAGAATTAAGATATTTTCTTTATGGATTTGATGATGTAAGGGATGATGTCATGGAGTGGCATGGATGAAATTATTAAGTTTTATTAAGGGCAACATGGTAAAGTGCATTAAATGAATTTAATATTCATTTATATTATATAATGACATGTATATTAAGGGATAAGGTCTAGTAAATTGAAGAAAAATTTCAGTTTCTTTTTCCTCCAGCCGTCAGACTCAATTTACAGGGTGAGAAGATTTGTTTTTAATTTTTGATCCATTTTTATTAGAATTTTAAGTTAGGTTATTAAGATAAAATAACCTACATGAAATTCTCTTTCATTTGGTATAAAAATCTTCATGTTTCATTCTCAAGTTGGTAAGATATTGATGAAGAGAAGTGTGCTTTTTATGATTAAAGATTGATTCTTGATATTAGAAGTGTTGTAAAAATTGATGAAGAACCTAAGGATTCAAATTAATGAAAATAATTTAGATTTTTGAATCTGGAAGTGAGTTTGAAAATTCACCATAAATTATATAAAAATTATTTGGAGGTGATTTTTATATATTGTGTTCTTATATCAATATATTTTTGTTTAAAACAAACGAGGATCAATTTCAAGATGTATACAAAAATATATAAATTTTTAACCAAGGAAAAGTTAGACAAACGGGCAACAAATTCTGCACAAAACAGATTCTATCGGTCAACTTTGAAAATTCACCATAAATTATACATAATGAATTAAAAGAATTTCTTTATATGGATAGATTCGTATTCGAGTATAGTTTTCAACGGAAGAAACGAAATTAAATTCCAGTGTGTATATCAATACAGAATACTGATTCTTTAAAGGTAGTGCGAGTTGTCTAAATATGGAAATTTTATAATTTAAGTAGAAATGGATTAGAAGCTGAAGAATAATGTTTAAATGCTTGAATATATTTTTGGATGATTGGAATTGTAGTTAAATGGAAAGAGACCATTTTGAATAAATTGGAAATGTTGAGAAGAATTCTAAAAGAATTCATTTTAATTGTTAGATGGTGAAATTCGAAAGGTTTCAAAAACTTGGGGACTTGTTTGCAAGTTTTTAAATGAAGAAGTATTATTTGAGTAAATTATTGAATGTTGAAAAATTTATTAGTATTCTGAAATTTGAATTAAATTTTGAGCTGAAGTTTTACAAATTTATTGAATTTGGTGGTTGAAAATCGAAAGTTAGGAAGTTTGAGTTGAAATTATAAATGTTTGAAATGTTGATGTAATGATTTGAGTATTTTATTAAAGTGCTGGAATTTTTATATTCAATGTACAATCAGCATAATGGAGAATGATCATTATGAATTAAATGGAAAGGTTGAGGTGAATTCTAAAAATAATTAACAATTTGTGGCTTATTTATGTAATTTAGCAAAGATGAAGGGTTAAAGATGAAAATAAATATTCATGAATTTGGAAGAGTATTTTTGAGAAGTTGAAAATTATAATGGAAATGTGATTTAGTTGATATCGATTTAATCTCGATTTTTTATATATTTTCGAATGTTAAAATCAACTTATGCTAGTACGATACTAATATGTAGTTCGAATATTTTATGTTATAATTTGTTATTGTCAGACTACGATAAATCTAACAATCTGAAAGATCCGAAAGGAAAGGACAAAACTCGTGACTAGGACTATTATATAAAAGTTCTGTAGTGAGGCAAAGCTGAATGCATTTATTTATTTAACTATTTTGATCGATGACGACTTGCGATAAGTCAACCTCATTTCAATTTACAACATGATTTATAAAGTTTATAAAGAATATTTTTATAATATTCTATATCAGTTTTATGAATGATTTAGGGTATAAAGTACCCAAGCATAATATTTTTATGATGGAATTATTATGATACGTCAGCCCATTGTGTGTAATAGTGAAAATTGTTGATACATTTGGCATGCCATTAATTGAGTATTTATCCATTATTAGCTTTGGTACATTCGTGTATCAATGTTATTATATCAGCTTTGGTATATTTGTGTATCAATGTTATCATATCAGCTTTGGTACATTCGTGTATCAATGTTATCATATCAGCTTTGGTACATTCATGTATCAATGTCCAGCACCGTTGGTACTTATTCAGGTTATGATGGCACTAAAGTGCATCATATCTCAATATCAGTTACAATTTGCACTGTGTTTTGCATAGTGCGCACCTTACTCATGTATCTTATATTCTCATAAATATACATTGGGCTATGAAAATGAATATGCAAGTTGTGAATGGGTTCCAGTTGACAGAAAGCATGATATGCTTATTTTATCATATATGAATTATCAGAATTTTCATGAGTTCATGATTTAAAAAGAAATTTCAGGTCTCAGTGAAGAAATCGACTTGTAAAAGTTGGTTTGTCAGTTTAATATTTTAATTCAAATTATTTTATTTATGTGTATGATATTTTCAGATTTTTCTCACCTTAGATTATTACTGTCTCACTAAGTTATATACTTAACGCGTGATGATTTTCATGCGTAAGGTCTGATTGAGATACAGACGTTTTATGAGGAGCCTTCCAAGCATCATGTGCAGATCATCTATAATACCAGTATCAGTAAGACATCATTGAATTTTCTTTTGACTAGTAGTGGCATGTATAATTATGTCAGCGATTTCTATTTATCGTAT